AAACACACAGATGTTCTAGGCAAAATGAGATGTTACTGTTGTGCTGGAAATAGAGTGGACTCTGTCTAATCTCTAGCTTACCCACCCTGTTCATGGTAGTCACATGACAGAGGCTCAGCCTTACAATATATTAGCCATAAAGCTTCACCTGTGCTTAAAGCTAGTTAAGATACTCAAGAGCTCTCCAATTCTTCAAATACTGAAGTATTATTGTCTTTTCCTTATTTTCCACTATTTGAATCAACACCCATTCCTCGCCTTTTGCTAAACATCAACATGTCAGTGTTCAAATTCATCAAATTAGTCTGTGCATAGACTCAGTAGATTTCAATAACTGTATCTATAGGATACATTGACATTTGAATTCTCGACCACGGTGTTGTGCGTTGAAGTACCCAGAGAGAGACACCAGGTGGTCCAGCCATGTTCCCCTCATGTTCCTGAATCAGGTCATGCTGATTAACCCGTGGTATTCTTTTAAAATTAAGCTATTGTACAGTTTAGAAGGCTACAGTAGGGTTCTCTAGTGTAAGATACTGTTAATTCTGAAGAGCAAAAAAACTCTTATACACTGTAATTCACTGATTTTAAAACACAGCAATGCAACAAGCTGCTGCAGATTTAGAAATTAGAACCCCAGACCCCTGATGCAATCATTTATATTAGACCAAAATGTGTTAGTTTCATGTGCTAACTAATTAGTAGAGTAAGATAAAAAATGTTTTAATTTCATGAAGAACTTTAACTTCATTGTATATCCTCGGTTTAACAGACTAGGGATTTCATGAACAAAATACATTGAAATGCACTAATAATAAAACAAAGTAAAAATAAATACTACATACTGTAGGTCTGAAATTCAGGAATATCAATAGTGCTCTATAGGGGTAAGTCAATTGCTTACAACAGGTGTTGTATTTCATATGCTTAAACTAATTTTATACAGTACATTTATGATGATTGAAATGAAAGCCTGTATATTCATGATTAAAAAACAGGAATAATTGTCATTTAGCATGCGAAGATTGCAATTGTTAAAAAATTCCCAAAATCCAATCAGAATATATACAATGTGTATATTTTTCTCATGTTTTGGCTGAGTAAACATCATTTGTGATTTAAGGGACACGCGGCAATAATAGACACCCCTTTTCACCATCGCTTTTTTAAACTAATTTCGGGTTTACTTTCTCATATTGCATCTTAACATCATGTTCCGCAACTCATCAAAAAATATAAATGAGAACAATAAGTATTTACTATTCAGAGCTGATACCATTATAGTCACTGGTACTATTTATCTAAAAAGACATCTAGTAATATAATGATCCATTTTAATGTAGAAAAAAAAAGCGAAAGCACCACATGTATAATTTATGTTTAAAAAAGCCTGTCGAATTCAGGACATTTTCTGTGACATATAGTATATCATTAAAAATGTTTTCAAGCCTGTTTCTTGGTGCTGTTTCCAAACTAGGATGGAAGCAAAGCTCATTTGTCCTCGTCCTTTTAAAATACCACTTCTTTGCAAGAAAGCCTCTGGATTGATGAAAGTCTTTGATAACACCCCCAAAGCAATTCAAATAAATAGTTAATGCCAATTTAAGAAGGACTGCCATGGCAAAGGAAACTGTTTGCTTATTCAACACCTTGTTCCACCAGGAAACAGGATAGAATAAAAAGAAAACAGCTAGTGTAAAAAATAAATGACTGGAGTTTTAAAGCTGTGCTCACTAAACAATCTCAGAGTTTGTGAGTTTTCCTGGAAAAGGGTTAACACCAACCCTCTTCTATGTGAAAACAGAAACGGAAGGTGTAGTTTGTGAAAACGAACTCCCAAAGGCCAAAGAAAAAAACACCTGTGCAGACATTCCTATGTTCCATGTAATAAAGCGATTCATACAGCTGTTAATACATATTTCCTGCAGCTGGAAAATAAGATTCCAAAGATTATTTTATGCATCCACCCATTTTCTAATGCTTTATCCATAACAGGGTTGCAGGGGAGCCAGAGCCTATCCCAGCATGCAATGGGCACTAAATAGGGTATACCCTGGATGAGGTGTCAGTTTATCACAGGGCACACACTCACACCAGGTTTAATTTTACCATAAAACAATTAAACTACCAGTGTTGACTGCGGCAAGAAACTGGAGCACCTCAAGGAAAAATTATGCAAACACAGGGAGAACATACAAACTCCACCACAGGTCTAGAATTGTACCTAGGGCCCCAGTGCTTTAAGGCAGAACTGCTAACCACTGTGCCTCCATGCCTCCCACAGTGACACTTAATGAAGGAAAATTATTAGATTTAATAGTGTACTATATTATTTAGTGGAAGGCAAATCTACTAGTTTGCTGCCTCCCACCAAACTAAAAACATACCTCAAGTAATGCCAAGTTAATAATATCTCAAGTTGTACCACATCAAGATAATAAATTTAATCACCAAGTCCCTTTTGTGAAAAAACACACCATGAATCACATGGGAATTAAGATTTATAATATCGCCCTGAGTGGTCTAGCAGTGTGACTCATTCTTGATGTCATGGACAGTACTTATCCTCTGTGCTGAGAAAAGCTTGAACTACTGCCACAGCACAAAGTGGTCTAAATGAATGTAAGGGTACCCTGGCACTTCTCTAAAAACAGGCAGTTGGCTCGATTTCAGAGAATAATAAAAATTACAATTGGAAACTATACTTAAGTTGAGACCCATTAATGTTATTGGCTGTATTTTGAGCCAACAAAGCAGTCCATTACGTCTTTCTGTATCCTTCTCTCACAGCTGTCAATATTGTGACAAACCAGCGTCACTGAAGGCAGGAAATAAGTCATAGTGGTCTATGGATTTTGATGTTCTAGAAACAGTTCTGCAAAATGTTAGTATTTTACGACACAGAAGTTAGGGTAGTTTGTTCTCTTTGCTTTCTTGCACCACTGAAGTTCTTCCATTGATAGTCTTTCCTTTATGTACTGTAATTATTGTTCTTGACTCTCCTCTACCACTGAGTCTACTGATTTTCTTCCCAGCTTCCCGTTGCTCTTTTGTCTTTGAGCTGGAATGAACCTGAGTACGCGAATTCATACATTGGGGTTCATTTCAAAGATTGTTTCATGGGAATACCATAGTTAATTTGGTCCAGGTGGGCTGATAGTCTGTGCAACACATCTTGGTAGCATCGAGCTTTTTCTGTGCCGCCATGTCACAATAATTGCCGTCTGACATCAGTATTTAGTACTGGATAGCAATATATTTATCAAGAATACTTGAGGTCCTTCTAGGATTCACCCTATTCCCATACTTGATGACATATACAAAAAAAGAAGGAAAGGAAAAACAAGTTCACACTTGTTATAGTTTTGTTAAGACAAGTGTTTGTAGTCAGCAAATACTGGTTACTGATTGCCTATTCATTATTCATCTATCCTGAGGAAATCATGACACATTTTTGAAGACTTTCGACTTCAAGAAAAAAAACGAAATAAAAAATACATTTACATTACAATGGAGATTCAGTTTTCCCAATTAATCATTCTCTCAGAAATTTTATGATGCATTCTCATATTTTTACAGTACGTACTGCATCAAAGGCATTTCCATTTCACTCATGTTCCAAATGCAATTTAGCTTCAAAGAAAAGCAGAACTATCCAAAAAGCCAATTCTCTTTTCTTCTGAAAAGAAATTTGAAGAAACTTACACAGCATGTCATAATGACGATCTTGAGACACAGAAAAAAGAATTTATTAAGTCCTCATTAAAAAGATTCAAACTCAAACACTGAACTAAACTCCTTCACCATTTACTAAACCTAAAATCATTATTGTAGAACACAGAACATTATTACGTCATGCAGTGTTTTTTTTTCAGGCCTTATATTATATATGGCCTATTATGGCTTTATCCTTTGGGTTCCACTTTAAGACCAAACCATTAAAGTACCTTTACAATATTTACTACATACTAAACCCTTTGTTAAATATCTAATTATTGATCACTTACATAAATTACATGAACGATGTCAAGCTGTTTTTACTAATATTGAAAATACATAAGAATATAGCTGTACAAAATATAATTCATTTTATGCATCAGATTTGGTTGTGTTGAGTCTTTTGGTTTGTACACCTATTCATTAATAAAATTAAATAGAACCAAGAACTGAAAATGTACCGTGATGAAGTTTGTGTCAATTACTTATCAGTGCACCTTACCTTCCTGTTCAACAATCTTTTGTATTCATGCACTGGAATCTTCTAGTCTTAGGACCAACATGACATTAGTAGCATATTAACATTATTTTTAGCTTAAACTTCTTATCTGGAGTTATTTCATACCAAATTGCAATTGAACTATATCTCTACATCAAGAAACACAAGAATAAACATGTATACATCCAAATATTTATTTAATTACAACACTAAGAACATAGTAAATAATGTAACCATAAACATAATGTAAATGTAATGTAAACTTATCAGGTCACCAACATGTTTGCATCACGGAATACTTTTAAAGTTGCGATTGTATTAAACAGTTTTTCTGCAGTAACTGCAAATATACATATAGTGCAACGGAAGAGTTATTATAAAACAGCTGGAACCCACAAAATTTAACGTCCCAGTTTACCTTTGCAAAACCGAATTAAACACAAAATTAAAACAAAAATTTCACCAGGCAACAAAATTCCTATAGACTGGTGGACAGAAGCACACTCGCCACCCCTTTCATTAGAGCAAGACAGATGTGGACTAGAAGAACAGACGCAGAACAGACTGGGATGCTCAGCTCTGAATGGACTTTGTACTGTAGTACTGTACTTACAGTATTTCTGACAAAGATACTGTAAGCCACTTTCAGTTTACATGAAAAAATGAAAGTGAAGACTCAATTGACTTCTATCTAGCATGTATAAATGACAGTTAAGCAATAATTTGGTCCTAATCAGGCTGATGCAGTAACTCGGTTCACCACTATGAGTTCTCACTGAAGATGTCATTATTAAATGTTTTATTAAAGGTTTGTGTCCTTAACAAGGGAAGCCTTTGATGGCTTCAGATAGAAACACTTGTTCACATAGTCCTTCCCAAGTGCACTTCATATCAGGGTAATAGTTTCAAGGATCCAACCTAGGTAATTTTTCAGTGTTATATAACATTAATTAAAATTGTACAAATTATAAACATGACTTAACATCAAAACTTTCCACAATGTATTGTGTGGCATTTAAATTAAAGACCATGAAATTCTTAAACATGAACATAATTGTACCTAAAAGGAAAATGTACCTGAACACAAGTTACATAAATGAAAAACATTAACCTGAACAGTTTGACAGTTTGACATTTCAGAAAAAAATGGAATATGTAATCAGCATTAATGGGTCAGCTTTGCTTCCATTTGGAGGATGTTGCTTTAATCTTTAGGGAAGTGATTCAGTGCAATGAAACACACATTAAACTAAGTACTATTTCCTTTAATACTACTTACCTACTGTATATTAGTGTTAAAATATCAGAGCAATCTTTACAAATATTCTTACTGTATATTTTGAATGCATAGAAAACAGCAAAAAATACAAGTAACAATCTTCATTCAAACACAGCTCTTAGTTGGCATAGATTGCTACATAGTCCAGCATTTAGGAAGTAACATCTTCATAGAGATAGTCGGAAATAAGGTCAGTCATTAAGGCTAGAAAGGAAAAAAAAGTACAGTTAAATACTTTTAAAGGGCAGTCACTTTTCCAAAGAACTACAAAATATTTTTTTAAATCCACTCAGGACTAACATTGAATTGCACAAATTAATAGTTCAACTATGGCTAAAAATGTATTTTTTAAGTGAAAAGGCTATGTTTTTTATTTAAGTCCTTTAGATGTCTAAACTCTTCGATGCCCCACTGCTGTAAAAGATGTAAGAGTAATGCCTCAGTTTTAAGTTATTGTTTTTAATAAGCACATCTTGATTGATTAACAACAAAAAATAACAACACATAATAAACAAGGAAGTTGTGGGACTTTCAAAGTTAATGTATATACAATGCAGATGAAAAAGGTTGTGAACCCCTAAATTTACTGTAATATGAGAATTTTAATTTCTTAAGATAACCTTAACTGAACAATTTATTTAGAGATGCAATGGCGTATGACAAAGAAAAAAAAAGGAAAATTCGGATTCACTGTGAAATAAAAGGTGAACCCCTTGTTAACTTAAAACAATTAGGATATTTATTATTTGGATCATTTTGTTAATTATATCATTCAGATCTATCTTATGGCTTTTATTTATATATTTAATCAGGTTATATTTTATTAAGACCTTCATAAAGTTCTAATTACATTTTTAATTGAAACTATAAGATAATATACGAAGGCTGTAGTAGTTCAGGTGGGTAGCTACGTCAGCATGTGTAGGCTGCAAAGGAACAAGTAATAGGTTTATTCCATGCTGAAAAAAAGAAGAAAAAAACACAATGTTTTGGCCGTGGGGCCTTCTTCAGGTGTGAAGAGGGCTGAAGAAGGCTCCACAGCTGAACGTTGTGTTTTCTTTCTTCTTTTTTTCAGCATGGAATAAACCTATTACTTGTTCCTTTGCAGATAATATATGAAGTTCACCAACTTTTTTCTCAGCCCTACAGCCACAAATAAACAAAAGCAAATGATAAATATCCAATTTTGTCTATGTAACAATTAAATAAAATAGTGGCTCTAAATCCTGGTCCTGGAGTACCCCTTTGTGCTGTTTTTTTTTTTCCAGATGGGCCCTTAAAACAACAGTGATAAACGGTGCCTGTAACTGATCTGCTTCCTGGTTAACTTTTTTCAGTCCTTTAGATCAAAAATAGTTATATCATCAAGTTATAACATCAGTACACAGAAAGGCATGCAGTTTCTCCTAAATTTGATTATTAACAATTTGTTCTTTTATTTCTGACTTAACAGCTCTTAAAGGTGAACTGTAACACTATTTTTATATTTCAGGGTTGGAAAGAATCAGCACTGATAAGTGCATTTCAAACCACAATAAAAGTAAAATGAACATGGTAACTAGCAAAACCTCCAATTTACATCACAAAACAGACAGAATTTCAAGGTATGTGCAGTACCATATTGTGCAATGCAAAACAAGGCAACAAAACTTCTGGTGACGTGTTTTTGTGCTTAATTTGAAATGTGTATAATTTTTCTAGAACATCAATTAATTTATTGTTACCGATATTTAATAACAAGTCTGAGAAATTGGGACTGCAGATACCCTTTTATTGATAATATATTGATGAACTGACACAGGTGGGAGTAAAACTGTATCAGACAACTTCCTGAGCCTTTAGGTTTTTTATTTTTTTCCTTCTGTAGTACTTGAGTAAATCTGCTTATGTTTCAGCTCACACACCCGAATGGGGACAGTCTTGAAACTTACCAATTAGCACAAAGTTCATACCAATTACGAAACTCATTCAGTTCCATTACTGTGTACAGCAAATTTTAAAAATGCCCCAAATAGAAAATTAAAATAAATTAGCCTGTGATTAAGAACTTGGCTGGAGAAAATCCAGCAGACACAGGGGATACCCAGGACCACAGCTGAGAACCACTGTATTAGAGAATTTCTTTTAAACCAAGGCTGGAGTGTAGAAAAAAAGTCAAAACAAGCAAGTAGATCAATTACTGGCAGTAATTAGCACTGGAGATTAAGGGCCCAGCTGGTACAAAAATCAGCTGGCACAGAGGTACTCCAGGATTAAAAAACACTGAAGTAAAAGACAAGAAGCAAATAAGTGTTTTGTTTATATGAGCTCAGAAATCACTGTCAAGGGCAATTTTTAAAAGTAGTTTCCTATGTTTTTTACAGCAAATTGCCCCTTTCTCAACAGAACAGTGGTTTGCTTGTGTTGTGTTTTGCGAGAAAATTATTTTTCCCCTCAGTTAACTAAATGCTGCTAGTATCAATGCCACATAATTTAGTCAACTTCCTAATCAATAAAATTGGTACAGATTGCAAACCGATAAGGTTTTGCAATTACCACATTTTTTAAATGATATTTGAACATTACTTTATATTTTTTAAATGTTTACAATATATCATGTAAACAAAGTTGAACTGCTATATTGAAGGCTAAATCAAACAACAGTACCCACTGCTTCTTTATATATATCAAATAATTATATGGTGGCCAGACAGCCAAAGATAAGGGTTTCTTCTTCTCTGCAAGATAGCTGTTCTTTGAATAGTTGAGAGCACACTCTGCTACATGATGGACTCTACTACATCCTCACAAACCTCAGCTGCTGTTTTAAATTTAGGAAGAGAAAAAAGCAGCACAACGAGCATATATCAGGGAAAGGAATATCTTATTTGTTATTAGAAACTGTGGTTACTAACAAATACCAAATTAAGAAGGTCAATATCCTTCACCAGCCACCCCTTCCAGCAGCTGTAATAACACAGCAAGATGATTTCATGTGGCAAAGCTCTACTACAGCTGCTAGGCTCTTTCCACTGAGATTTGCAAGGACACCCTTCTATTTATAAAGTGACTTTAGCATCCTTGCTGTGTGTAAAATAAGCACGTACCACTCCAGATGCACCATGCGACTGCTTCACTGTCCCAGAGATCCGATCCCACAGCTGTACCAGCTGACCACCAACTTGAGGCTCAATCTCCTGCTCAGCAAAGAAGCAGAGGTATTATTAAAAACACAAGGAAGGACTGTGTACATACTCTTTCTCTACTTTCTAATTGTAACTTGACAATTAATATTCACTATTATAACATCACTTCATAGTTTTAACCTTTTTAACTCTTTTGAATCTATGGGTTGTAGTGCTGAGAGGAGTTGAGCAGTATTTGGTACTGATTCTTTAACGTGATAAAAGGCAAGAATCTTTTCTAAATTTAAAGAATTATTTAAAAATATTGTCAGGATACACCACTTATAGAGTATATTTACATGTAATACACTGACTTATGTATTACATTAAGTTTTCTTTTTAAAATACAGTTTTTAATTATGGGACTTAATATTTTAATATAAGGAAATAAGTCCTTCAATATCATTTTCTAGAAGAGTGCATACTTCTTTAGAAAAAAAGACACATTCAAAAAAACGTAAAAATAAGTATTATGTGATACAATGATTTACTGTTCAAATGCATCATAAACATTACTACTATTACAATTTGATCATTAGCCTTTGGCAGCCAGGCAGTCATCAATTGCAAACATGCCAAATTTTATTTAAGATTATGTTAAAAGCGCAACATACGTGTAAGCAATTATTAATTAATGTGTCCAATTACTTTTGGTCCCCTAAAATGGGAGGACTATGTATAAAAAGGGCTGTGATTCCTATATGGTTCACCCAATATAGACGTAAATACCCTCAAATCGAAGCTGACATTCTGCACTTTAAGCTCATACATAGTCATTGTTTCATTTCAAATCCAATGTGCTGGAGTACAAAGCCAAAACAGCACACATTGTGTCACTGTGCAAATACTTACGGACCGCACTGTAGCTGTATTTTAAAGGCACTCACCTGTCCATCTCTGCTTATTTGTACTTTCTTATTTTCATTCCAGGGGTTGAGCAATTGCTGTGCATACTGAAAAGGAAGGCTCTCTTTCCTGACCCATTCAACCTTGAAAATCCCCCCAAGACTTGTCGAGCCCCACTCCTGACTTCTTTCATGCCCTATTTCCGTGGTCATTCTAGCGTAACCCTGAAACACAAGAAACCATTCATCTTTTAGTACTACATCAATGACACTGAACACAATACAAATTCAATATCCCAGTCCATTCATCTGAGCATCTTCTGCAGCTGTTAGGCTTTCACATGCATAAAAATACTCTAAAGCCCTTCAGGCATACCAGTTCCTACACATACCATTGCACATACTTATTAATGAGGAAATCAGAACGCATTAAAGTGGTCCGCAAATATTTTTGTGAAAGACACGGATTTGGCAAAATCTTAGGTCATCCTTTAGATTAAGCTGCATAAAAAAGATTAATGGAAATTATGTATCAACTTACAATAAATAGAGTAGTGATAATGCTAGGTTAGGCCTAGCTTTTTGGATACGGTTCTGATCAGTGTTAATATATAAACTGAGGTCCCATAGGATGTTAATAAAGCATGCGTAGATACAGAGAAAAAATTAGGCTGACTCTAACCTAGTAATACTAACTCATCAATGCATTGTTTACCATGAGTCTGTAAACATTTAATAATGTGCAAAACATCAGACTAATAAGGGTAGCTTAAGATAAATTAAACATTAGAGTAGCAAAGAAGCAATACTACAGTACAAACAGGACTCTTAAAGCTGGAAATGAAGAGCAAATTGAGTGATTAAAAAATACATTTTAAAATTATGTTTTTACTTTTTTTCTTAAGTTGTACTTCTGGATTTGTTATAACTCTGTGATTAAAGTGAAAAAGGCCAAAACGTTTTCCCATATAGTGACTCCAAGATGATGCGTAGGGGACGGCGTGTGTTGATTGTTTAATAAAAGTTTTTAAATCCCTCTTGCAACTTAAGAAAAGCAAATAGCTGATTCATAGTGATTCACTTTTAGGAGGTGGAGAAAGTCTCCTTGTGTTACTTTCATGCATACAAGAAAGCAACGTATGAATTTCATTCAGCCACAGGATCTATAGCTAACTATAGCTAACTGAGCAGTCAGTTCAAACAGCAGCACCCAAACAATAGCATTGATTCCACTGCAAAAGGAAAAAAGCAGCAACTTACATTCAACTTATTTGGGAGAGGAATATTCTTTTAATCATTGTTTTGCCCAAGCTGTAATAACAAGCAGAAAACTATTTGGCATGAGCCTTGCTCTGCTGCCATTTAATAAAATAACCGTAAAGTGAATTTGAAACACACAGCACCTTCTGATAGTGTGAGACTGTAGCTAACTTGCTTAGGTACTGTGTTAATACAACACCTAACTTGTTATGGAGGAATAAAGTGCCATTGGGCTTGTTACTACTTTATACTGTATATTGCATGGAGCAGGAGGCAGAAAACCCTGATATACTGTAGATAAACAATCTAGACCATCGGCAGTGGCTGGGATGACAGAATATTTGGACTGAATGATTTCCTTTGTCTTAATCTAAAGCACTGCCAAATGTTACTATTTTTCAATAATTCGTTCACTTGTCAAGTTAAATCCAAGCAAAGTTGTAAAGGGTGGAGGAAACATCAGAAATATATTTGTCGTATATGTCTCATTTACGATTTGACAATGAAACAGAGCAGAGAAGGATCCTTTCTTACAGCAAATAAACAAAAAACAAGATTCCTTGCTTGAATAATTTTAATTTGGAAAATAATTTCCCATTTTATGTAAGACATTTCCTGTGATTCAATCTGATCAATCTGACAAATCTTGTATCTGAGATATCATATTGGAGATTAGAATCATTCCAACAGAGTTCACACTGATGACTAAGTGTAAAGACAGTTAGAAACATAAGTGGCACTGTTGTTAAAATTATTAAAATATGCACTACACTGATAACTTCATTAATGTACACACAAAAAGTCAATCCCTGTAGCCTGAAGACTGCCAGTCTGATTCCAGTCTATTCTGTCTGCCTGCTGTGGTGGAGAGTTCACATACAGTGTACAATACACAAAGTGCCACCAGCTGGGAAAATTTAGCTCATCTTAAACTGGTAATCCCTGCAAGCCCGTGGTATTATCTATCCTGTGTGATTTCTGTGCGAGGAAAAAAGAAAATTGCTGCTCTGTGTGATTCAAGTTGAATAGCAATTGGCTGTTCTGGGCAAATATTTTTGAATGGTGAAAAAAGCTTTAAATTCACATTACATTTCCCTTCTACTCATACCCGTGTAACATCAACAGGATAATATAAATTACACAACTGAAAACTACATTGAGGTGCGTTTAAAACGAATATGCGGGTGAAGACTTCTTTCGCTTAAATTAGCAATGAAAATCATTTTTAAAAATCCATTGGCTTCATCCAATTTGTATTATTTATACACTGTTTCAAGCGTTAAAATGAATTTAAAAATGTAATTAATTCTCTAAGAAAAAAAGTTCTTTAAAATACCCACCTGAAAGTGTCCAGATCCTTGCACAGAAAACACTAGGAAAACATTACTGCTTTCCAGGAATGCACGGTTCAGTTTCAACTCATTACTTGGTGTAGTGGACCAAATTCCTTTTTGCTGGGAGATCTCAATGTTGCGGAGATTGCTGCTTTTCATGATAAAGTAGCGCACCAATGTATTTGGCCTTGGTGAGGCTGATTTGGAACACTAGAAAATAAAGGTTGATGCAGATTTTACTGATATTCAACAGTCAGTACCTACTGTATGTACCAGAAATGTTAAGATTCAGTTCATAGTATTAGTTTAAGCCTAGCAATATAGTTGTACAGAATACTAAAAAGCAAAGAATGAGTATTCAAAAATAATTCACTCAAAAGTTAAAAGTATTCAAAAGTATCAAAAGTATTTCAAAATAAAAAAATGTGAAATTTCACATATCTGGATATGTGGATTAAAGAAAATATAACCCATTTAAAACTGATACTGAAGTAGCTTATTTGATACCAATGGATAAATCTCCAACCCCTAACAGGGCACGCCATGTTCTGCATTCAATCTGAATATAAATACTATTAATACATTAACCTTCTTAAGTTTGTGAGATAGCAGCACATGCAAAGTAAACTATAGGTTCCCTACCCAAGGAAGATTATTACTGGAGTATTTATAGACACCACGTTTTGTCCAAGAAACATACGCTGTATGTAAACGTACTGCAGGAACAGTTTGCTTGTGTTTTCTGTAACATTTTCCATAATTCTCAAAGAAAAGAGTGACTTATGTGAAGCACCACATCACCACTCTATTAAATAACAGAGGGCAGTTCTGAGACACCTGAATAAAACTTTCTGCACTGCAGAAGATCCCAAAACATTTGACAATTTTCCTGAAAAGGGCACTTGTGTCAAAACTGGTAGGAACTGCATTTATCTTAGTGTTTAATGACTGACTCAAGAATGCCAACTACTGTACACTGAGCCTCTCTCTTCAAACCATGTAAAGAAAGAACCAGGTGGCTGAACGCCCTCCGGCCTCACAGAAAATGAACAGCAATGGTTTGTATTTGTAGATAAAAACCATCAAGAGGCATTCCAAAAACTGTTTCAAAGACAATTGCTCAACCTTGAGCAAAGGCAGCAGGAAAAAACAGAAGGACCATAATGCTGAAAGGTTCTTTACCTTCCCTGACGAGGGGGGTGAAGGGCTGGCACAGGGACTGGGATAGCTGTTGCTGTCTGTTGATTTCACAGATGACTGATCTGACCTGTCATCAGCGTTGCGTTTCACATGTGGAGCCCTCTTTTCCTTGTATCCCTTTGGCTGGTAAAGTGCCGGAGACATCCCCTGAGCCCTACAGTGAAGACAGATTTCAGATAAAATGTGGGAACAACTTCACCAATGTAGTGAATAAAGCCTTCTGCCACTCCTATAGATTCTAACACAGGGCTCTGCCTGTGCAAATCTTACAATGTTCTCAATGTGAAGAACGCAAGTGAATAATCAAGCAACAAGCTCTGTAACACATACAGTGCGTGTACTTTCACTACAAAGGCACAATCTCCTTATGTGGATACTTTAACAAATAAATCTGAATTTTGTGTATTTAATACATGCAAGTTTCATAAAATTCTATTTTCAATTTAAAAAAATAAGCATGATTTATGATAACACATACTGTATAAACTACAGTATATAAACTAATGACCCATTTATCTCATCTTGAATTATTCTAAGATTGTTATGCCATGGCCCCAATATTTTATGTTAATGTTCAATGTTACAAGAGGTATCCAATGTCATCTTAAGAAAAATCATTTCAATATTGTCCTAAGCCTTTACTGGTAGTTCCACAGATACTATACATTAATCAAACAATTGCAAAAAAAAAGTTAGAAAGCACCTTAGTCCTCCTACATGTTTTGGCTCATACTCCCTTAATATTAATCAAAATACAGTTGTCATTACTCTTTTGTATTACATGAATACATGATTGATTGTAGTTGTAAAATTATACAACATATGTATGGTGCTAGTCAAGGTATTATCAATTATATTACACCTGTATTAGCACAAGTATTAGTATTAACAAGATTTACTAGTTTTATGCAATAAGGATGGAACTTATTTTGTGGCAGTTAATTTACTGATCACATACCACTACTGTCCTTATGAATTTCTAATTAGCTCTTAAAAGTTTAAAATAGTCCTAATGATTTTTTATCATCCTTAATAATGCTGATGTTACATGGTAACTTCCATCATTAGAAAATGTTTTCAAAGGTATTGAAAACTGGAATACTTTCTCACATTGCTGTACTTTATTGATTATTTTGTTCCTTTATTGTGTGATATTAAATGGAAAAACATTTTCCAAAGTAAAAAGGTCAGTTTTTTTTTTTTGGGGGGGGGGTGGTTCTGAATATGATAAAGTTTAGAGCTCGCAGGGGAACAGTTCAGGTTTTTTTCTTTTTCATATGTCAAAAACAGAAGGGGTTGCAAGCGAAGTGCTAGAAGGCAGATCTGCGGGACAGAACTAATAGACTGGCAGCTGGTTCATCAGAGCTTGTGCACAAGGTTACATCTGCCAATGCCACAGATCACTAGAAGTAAGCACTACAAGTACTTGGACTGGACTGACTTGGACTGAGGCCAGGTTTACCACAAGGTGCCCCATAAAGCAAGAGAACAAAAAAATTATTATACTCATATGCAAAACTACCAGTTTTCCCTATTGTGTCTTTTGACACATTGAGTTTTCCCATTTATTCGCTTAGACTGGAAGACTGTTTTTTTTTTTTGTCTCATTCCTTAAGCCCCTGAAATACATTTAAAGATTAGTAGTTCCGTCTAATGTGTTCATTTAAGACAAAGTAATAAATCCCTGAAAGAGTAAAACGTTACTGATCCGCCGATAAAGTGGCACTGAAAAAGACCCAATTAATGCAGTTACTTGACTTAAGTGTGAGAGGAAAAAGTTTGCCAATCTTTCATCTTTGATGTCCAGCTGCAATATATCTAACAATGAACAATCATTCCATGAAAAGCTGGGTTCAAATCCATCAAACAGCTTGAAAGTAATTATATCCACTTTACGGGTTACTCTGGATTCTGATACGATGCCACTGTCCTTGACCCATATAACAGTAAGACATCATTCAGGATTAATTCACATGGAATGTAGCTTTTATTTTCACTTGCCTAAATATACTACTGAGAGTGCCCTCATCATTCTTGCATGCATAATCCCAAAATCAATAGAGTAATTATTTGACTTTTCTTAAACTGTAATACATTTTAGGACCAAGGCTTTAAGTAGAAATTAACAGCATTTATCAACTATGTTAAACATCCATATTGACATTCTCTTTCATGGTCAATCCCCCCATAACAATACAAAGCAAACCTAAGAGTGCCTAGGGATGTGCCCAGTCTTCTAATAGTGATTAACAGATATAATTACTAATGAGTTCCAAACATCAGACAAATTCAAGATAGGTCTTTGTTTAGAGTCTTTTTCTGCACTGGTAAAAAGCAGCACTGGATCTCTTTCTTTCAATGAAACTCAGAATCTCATAAAAAGTCAAAGGGAATACAAAAAAAATAAAATAATCTGTTGGGTTATAAAAATAAAATAGTGTTCCTCAATTATAAAATACTATGGAATAGTTGATTCTATGAAATGACTAAATTGTTGCAGTATACGGTCTATTTGCTATCATACTTGTAAGATACCGTAACTGATATAAAAAAAATCATCTTAAAAACTTTACTAGTGATACTATTACTGACAGTAACATTTACAGTAAAGCTCCCTGTCCTTTAGTGTAAAAATGAGTATTTCTTGAAGACAAAGGTAATAATTCTGCATTTCATAATTTTACGAGAGAATGAGTGAAAATAACATCTAATGGTCTGCACTAAGTTGATAACCTATATATAGATTCTCCAGTAAATACAACACTGTTTTGGCATCTCTTTTAGTACCATGCTTTTTTTAAGCCAGCAAGACAGGATTTGCCCTGCTAGCTTGCTCCATTTTCAGAGGGAAGGTGACATTTTTAAGCCAGACCTGAAAACATTCATGTCCCTGTCTCGGTAGGTAACACAATGCTATAGGACGTAAATCTGACCTGAAACTTTGAGATAAGAGCTTACATAAATTTGCTCCCCAGTTCCCCACAGGATTACAGTGGATTTCCTTATCAAGATCGTTCAGCTCTAAACTGCAGAAACCACATTAGTGCTTGCCACATGTTAGAATATATTCACCCCTCAGCGTGTGAAGCTTCATCTGGAGGCTCTGAGTCAGGACAGCTCCTGCAGCTGTTGGCGGTCCTCCAGGATGACAGCTGAGGGGGCTCTTCAGACATGGGCCGGGGTCTCTGACCAATCCCGGAGGGCTGCTGCAGGCCGGCGAGATGCTCCTCGGCCGTGAGTACAGATACCAGAGCCCGCAGCGTCTGCTCGTCCACTTGAGTACAGGGCTTCGAGGGGGTCCGGATTCGCCGCAGGAACAGGCTGTGCCACTTCTGCCTCAGCTGGAACACGAGGCTGGCCGTCTGCGGAAAAGGGTGACACCCATCTCGTGGTCTTAATGCCAAATCAAACAGAAAAATTACCCCGCATGAAAGCAGTACAGCGTTCAAATGTTTTATGGTTCCTTCCTTTAGCTAGCGATTTGAAGTTTTCCATGTTTGTTAGGTATTCAAGTGGCAGCAGTGAATAACTATTCCACTTACAGTACTTTGTTAGTGTGAAGTATAAAGCCTGTCTTTAGTTCTCACACAACAACCATCTGTTGCTCCATCTCACAGCTCCAACTCTGGCACACAGCATCAGTTATGTGTGAATACTGTACAAACATTTTGAAATGTAAAGTATTAAAAATGTATTGGTGTTTGATATAAGTAAAAAGAAAAGTGACTATCCTCAATTATATTAGTTACCTAATGTAAGACACTCTATTTCAATTAAATAAACACATAACTGCTTAAAATTAGCTCCAACTGCTAAAATTACATAATCTAAACTATTAGTCATTTTTGGTTCTACTTCCTACAGTAAGGCTTGGCTGTTCTATTTTAATGTATAAGACAGTGAGGAATGAATTACTAAATTTATTAGACTCACAAGAAATATCACAGGCAGATGGCACACAAAGTTTAATTTCTTGTAATTTTCCTGATTGTGTTGCAATGTGTTTTAGTGCATTTCTGTGTAACTCCTCTACTGTATGTTTTGCATTGTATTATTTTTTTTTCATACATATGTTAATAATAATAATTGTATACATAGCGCTTTTCTGGACACTCTACTTAAAGCACTTTACAGGTAATGGGGACTCCCCTCCACCCGCACCAATGTGCAGCATCCACCTGGATGATGTGACGGCAGCCATAGTGCGCCAGTCCGCTTGCCACATATCAGCTATCGGTGGGGAGGAGAACAGAGTAATGAAGCCGATTCTTAGATAGGAATTATAAGAAGGCCATGATTGGTAAGGGCCAATGGGAAATTTGGCCAGGACACCGGAGTTACATCCCTACTCTTTTCGAGAAACGCCCTGGGATTCTTAATGACCACAGAGTCAGGACCTCGGTTTTGTGTCTTATCTGAAGGACCGTGCCTCTTTTACAGTATAGTGTCCCCGTCACTATACTGGGGCATTAAGACCCACATAGACCGCAGGGTGAGCGCCCCCCACTGGCCCCACTAACACCTCTTCCAGCAGCAACCTTTAGTTTTTCCCAGGAGGTCTTCCATCCAGGTACTGACCAGGCTCACACCTGCTGAGTTTCAGTGGGTTGCCAGTTGTGAGTTGCAGGGTGATATGGCTGCGATATGTTAAATGTCTTAAAAGGTGTCCAGTCTTGAACTCCATAGTATCGGTATAGGTTACAAGGTTACTGCGACCCTAGCCAGAGATAAGTGGCTATGTAATAATAGTTGATTCTTAAACAGTAACAAAACATTAATTCTGTTTTTGTTATTGTTAGCTGTAGTTAATTTTTATTTGGCAAATTATTCTCCAAATAGTTCTTACTGCATTTATACCAAATAGAAGACCAAAGTTTCAGGTATATGTAAATTTAAATAAATATTTTAAAATTACAATAAATAACAGTGGTGGTTTTAAGTAAGAATTTTAAAATGAAAATGTTTATTTCCATTATGTATTACCTGTAGCGTAGTAAAATTTAATTACATAAATAACTTCGAAATGGATATCAATAATATGCTATGATTCAAATCTTTGTTTGAAAATGTGTTCTTAAGTTTCCAGGGTAAAAATAATTAATTTTACAGTCAAAATAAAATGCTTCCTCTTGTAAACAAACTGCTTACATTAATATGTGCATCATGCAACTGCATGATGAGATGTTCCTTTTTTATTAGAAGATATTTTGAAGAGAAAATTAGGAAAAATTACCTGACGGACCAAATTATCTGTCTTAAAGCAGAACCTTTGTGGGATGAGATTTCTATTTAAGAAATCTTGCACTGTCTGCCAAGAAAAAGGCATTCTAGTTAATTACATGCCCTGTGTTTCTGAAGCTTACAGTCAGGAACACATTTCACTCCTTCTTCGAGCTGAACGAAATCTACACAAGGAGCTGAGGGATGATGCACTGTATTCTTGACTTTAATTTTCACCTCATGTTCCAATTTGAACTTCATCCATTCATCAATCTTCAAAGTGGCCATGTTAACCGACTGGTCTTCTGTTTCACTATCACTGCTCTCATTAATGCCATCGGCTGTCAAGAAAGAATGAAAAACACCTAGTTATTACACACAGATTGCATTCATATATGCCAAAATTAAATAAAAACTAAAATTAAAACTTTATGTTGCAGGCATTTAAAGGAGAAACAAATTGCTTCTGTATTTTTTAAATATAATATTATATTCTTAGGTGATTCTTTGTTTCTCTTCATCAATCACTCGATGAAGAGACAAATAAAAGTGAAGAGCACCAGAGCTGCCTCAGCTTTAAGGCAGAAGTCTTCACTACCAGTTAAGCACAAAGTAACATTCCTTGTACTGTGTACCTTGCAGCTTCACACTGAACATATACTATTTTAGAACTATTTTTATGAAATGACAGATATCATTAGCTGCAAATATATATAAAGCAGAATTTCTAAGAGACTACAGGATAAAAAATATTTCTGAGAGGTTGGAGGGTCATTTGTGAGTTAAGAGAACCATATTAGCTTTTGTCATGCTCTAAAGCATTTAAAATTGTGCAAACCCTGATTGTGAAAAATGCAATATTTTGTCCTAGTACAAACAAATTCTGCACTGTACCGTTCTGCATTGATGGCTCCTGCAAAGCAGTGCTCGGCAGCTTTGCACATCCTCCAAAAATGGCAACTGTAGGCGATGTCACTACAGTACAGCACCTGATACTAGCTATTCTGTGAGCTCTGGTCATTTCATCGTATAACAGCCAGCTGGTGGGCAGACACTGAATAGCTGCAGCTTGACCATTTGCTGGTGGAATCTGAAAATTCAAGCATGATACACAATGCAACACTTAGACAATCAGAAAAGCACAGTACTTTGAAAAACAGTTTTTTTTAAATTCCACAATCATTCAGGTGGAACTAAAAAAATGTGCAGCCTAGACCTAGCTCTTTTCAATGGAAGATGCTCAGGTACTTAAACAATGTCAACTCATAAGTTTCAGAAATCAAATTCTAGACTTGGGAATGAAAAACAGCACAACAAGGTGACGTTTTGACAGAGCATCATGTTTTATTTCAAATTTTATTTAGACAAATATTGAATGGAGCTCCCGGGTGGCTCAAGTGCTAAAGGTGCTCGCTCTGAGCGCATATCGAGCTTAGCCTGGGTCATGTTAGCTAGCTCCCTGTAGCCAGGATACCCAGAGTGCAGTGCATTATTAGCTCAGCACCAAGAGGGTTATGAAAAGGGATGGGAATGGTATTGAAAAAAAACATTTAATATGCTAGACAGAACCTCTCAAGTGGCTTAACTAATGAAGACACACCTGAGCTCAGGCTGAGCTCTATGATCATAGATTCGAGGCGGGGTCATGTCACTAGCTGATTATGACAGAGATTCCCCAAGCATCAGTATGCAACTGACTGAGCGCCGCAGAGGGCAGTGTGAGATTAGCTGGCACAGCTTTCAAAGACACAGCAACCCATACTGCCAACTGCTTCTAGCAGGCTTGCAGGGGTGTTTGTTGAGGTATAGTATGTGCCTCTCCTTCAATCAGCACCAGTAAAGGGCTGGATCACCTGTGATGAGTTACTTAATTTTTAAGAACTTAATTTATCTGGATCTGCTGACCATTACTGCCGAAGAATATGGTACAGCAGAAAAGATGCCTCGCTTGTACACACATGGGTTCAAATCCCACCACTAACACCACATGCGACTTAATCGCCTGGCAGCAAGTCCATGGCTGGTCACAACAGTCCTAAAAACATATGAGATTAAAAAATGCAGTGCAAAACCAGTGACTATTTACTTGTCCTCAAATGGAAGGAAGAATATTTACAAAAGAAAAAAGTACATGCATCAAAAGTGCCAAATTTTTCAGGGCATTCATTACCAGTATTTTGGTAGAATACCAGGACTGCAATAAACCAAGTTGTGTTATAGCACACAGACAAGATTCCATTCTTAGACAAAGAATAACTACCACACGACGAGTGTCAGGATATATACCCTAAGCTACACGTGACAGACAAGTAAAATTTCTTCAGGTGTATCAGGTGTAGCAACACAAAAATGGACAAGATACATGGACAACACTGTAAATCCACAAAAGATAATACAGAATTACAACAGCAACAGCCAATTGCTGTTGGCAATTGTTGCCAAGTCCAATGAGGACTTAAGAAAGACAAGGGCCTGCCACAGCCCTGCATTGCCCACGCAACGTTGTATAATTCATCACACTCTTTTTAATCTCTTTTTTACCTGCTGGGCTATCAGTATAGTTGTAGAGATACCAAAAGATGAATTGATTATTTACCTAAATGAACACCGAGACAGAGCTGAAAACCTCAAGACGAATTGAATTAACTTTTTTTTAAAAAGCAAAAACGTGTCAGTATCTCTCAAAATTGGGGAGAAAGATTCTTCACATAAAGGTAATGTAGCTCAGGAGGTTTCTACAGTTGATGTTACTGTGAGAAAATGTAAATATGGTACTTAAAATAAAACTGGATTTTGGTTATTGTTCCACTGTTATTTACACTTGTTTGTGTAAAAAAACATAACACAGCCATAAAAATGTTACTGGTATTTTATAAAAGAACTATTATTAAAGAACCTCTGAACAAACTGTTCTAGCAATGTTACATTGTTTTAAAGTTGAATTTGGTCTATATAGTTTTTGCTCTTTAGATTTGATTGAATTGATTGATTTAAGCTTTAATTCTAAGACATCACTTCAAACATTAGTATGTATCCCATTACAACTGTAATGTGTCTCTTCATTTATCTATAAAAATATGGTTAATTGAATGTACTGCATAGTTTTTAAACATTCATTCATAAGAAACATAATTCTCTTTGTGAGGGACAAGATTCATTTGCCAGGATTCTCACAGATTCCAGCAAAGTGACCCCTGCAACTTTACAGACACTTGCAGGTTTTCAGAGATGTTAATGAGGGTTGTAAATCTCCTCCTTTGTTGAATGGTCTGCATGTTTCTGCAGAGGCTGTGATATAAATGATATAAAAATGTTTTATATAAAATGTGATGAATTAATTTGACTTATTGACTGTTTTATTCATGACAAAAATCAGCCTGATGTACATTAACTAGATATGTTCCCAATATTCCTCACACTATTAGGACTTATTTCTCATATTATTTCAACTCTGTTAGAACACGTTTTATGTTTGTTGTAATCATTTGTTATTGAACAGCTCCACCATGAGGGCCAATAAAAAAACACTGTAAACACATTCCTTACCTTATTATTCAGTGGTTGGCTCAGCACCGAGTTAGGGTGGAATCTCACTTTCTTCTCTTTTGAGCCCATTAGCATTGCATTCTCCTTGTCCACATGGATGAGGTTAGGATACATGCCGGCCACTAGGGCTGCTTTCACCACAGCCCAGTTCTCCGAATTCAAGTTCACGTCACGGATGTCACCCCCCCCTCTTGCCCGAACAAAACCTACAACACCAGTAGCAAGACAGTAAGTAATTGGTTTTTAACAAAGTATTTTGTTTCAAAACATAAAAACAATAATACAATAACAAATAATAAGTCCTGAACAGTAAAAAAAAAACATCAACTACTTTCACAGAACAAGAAGGGAACCATAGAAAAAGTCAATTTTCTGAGAAGGGGTTCACTAAAAACTTTTAAAAATATTGGGTTCTAAATCTAAGTTTAATGCAATAAATTGCTCATGTGAAACTTAAGTTTTAAGAGCTAAAATCAATTCATCCAAACAATTCCTTTCAAGAACTTGAAAGAAGTCCATGCCAAACTAACATCTATAACATTATATGGTAAAAATGTACACACAATAAAACAAAGACTTTATTTATTTTTTATTAATTGCAGAATAATTTCCTTCAGTACTTCACAAAGCATAAAAAACTGCATCCATATACAAGAATATAAAAGTTTGTGCAAAAACTATTGCCAGCCTAATTCCAGTATTGAATACTGGAATAAGCCACCAGTGAAAAGCTGGAATTGAACCTTATTTACAATTTGAAATTGGCAGCAAGATCAGTGTATAAATCTAAAACCAGGTTAAAAGTACATATGAATTCATTTCCATTTCCAGATTTACCAATCTGGAAACAACCTGAAACGAACCAGGATGTTTCTGCCTAAATCTGGTTCAAGTTGAAGAACCCAAAGTTAGGGCTACTCACTTCACAAGAAGTGAAACAGAAAGAAACAGAAAAAGAAAGAAACACTACATGGGATGCAGGAAGACAGGGCATAGAAGACAGAAGATAATTGTTTTTTTTACCATATTTCTGGTTTATTGAAATAAACTCCAAGGCAGTGAAGATGCTGTTCCTTTACATAACACTTACGCTCAATAATGACTTCACGACACATTACAAAGAAACAAAACAAAATCTTAATCCGAGCGGGTTCAGAAAAGAGAATATCTCAGTCACAGCAATTTACACCAATGTGACAACAGCACATTTGTTCAGTGAAACTTCATCTTCATGATTCTGACTAGACACTGGAAAAAGCCAAACCACCTGGCCTTGGCCAAACCTCGTGCAGTTCACAGGTTACAGTATAAAAAGGGTATTATTAATCCACAAAACAAATGTTTTTTTCATCTGTGCAATCACGTCTAGGTAGATCCCCATAAAAGTAAATCATTTTACTTCCAGAGGTGGTGTTTCAACTCACCTATGGCTCTTAGTTGTCCAAGCAGCTGTGTCCTCATCCCGATGATCATTTCCATTGTGGCCTGAGACAAGAAGTTCTTCTCACAGAACGCTCTCTCCCAGCCATCACTACGAGCCTTCTGCCACGCCTAATTGAAATTAAACATTGGATTGGATATGAATACATTTTTCACATTTTTAAACGTCCCATCATTTTCAATTCTACAACAGTTGATCTTAAACCTTTTTCAAAGAGCATTAAATAAAGTGCCGTCCACATCATAAAAAAACACACAAAACTTGAACAAAAACACGAGCATCACACAATATATAGAAAGGCCCGCCATTTGCAATGCCAAAAAGGCCTGCCAAACTGTACAGGTTCTCTCACAGCACTGCTGCGCCTTTGGCTGTTCATTCAGCTCAAGCCTTGAAACATGCATGCTGTAGTTTTGTCTATTTTCCCTAGCATTTGGTCTTGAGTCACATTTAGTGCCAAACAATTATGCACATATCTATAAGTTAAAATCATGTATCACCACACTTTGTATGGTTTCAAAGTAAGCTAAAATGTTTCCACTCTTTCTCAAATAGCACTGGTCCTGGATTCCTGTTTGCAATTACCCAAGAAAGGATACTGCTAAGTGCTTTTGGCTGTACACTGCCGGATGGACTGCTTAATTTATGATGTTGTTAATTAGTAATGGCTTTGTGTTCCTCAGATTGCAAACTCTTGCATATTAGGTCAACTTCCCAAATGACACTCCATCTGTACTATTTTTAAAGGGTATTTCAGAGAACAGATCAATAGAACAATTCAATTGCAATTGCAATAAGCAATAAGAGAGACAATTCAAAATGCATCTGAAACGTACTCAACATAGCGAAAATATTTTACGTTAGCTTTATCCTCAAGGCAAAGAGCTATAATGAAAAATTAAACAAATACTCAATCCTAAAACCTCTCTACTTAAGGGAAAAAACTATTTATTTTAAAAACAACCTTTTATTAGCTATAATAGCAAGCATATTATTAGTGGCTTACCTGAAAAGCTCTTAGAAAAGCCATGTGGTCACTGAAAGTCCCTGCAGTGAACCGTTTTCTACACAGCATTGCTGCCCTCTTCTGGGCTGCCTGTACAGGCAGAACAAATGGATCTCTATAGGCCAGAGTGCAGGCTATAGTGAGGATAGGATCAAGGCATCTCAGCACCACAGCACAAAGCACCATCTTCCCAAGGTGAGGTTCCACTGGCAGGTCAGCTAAGTGGTACCCCAGTTCTGTTAAGTCTTCCCAGGGGTCCATGGCATCTATTGTCTGAACAGAGAAGACATTTTCTTTTGATATCCGAAATACTGAGTAAGGTCACTTGGCTAAACTATGAAACTGAAAATTACCTTGAGCATCTGTACTGCATTTCTAACGATCAGTGTAGGTGGTGGTTCTGGCGCTTTAGCAAGAAACTCAGCAACAGGACACGCAATTGGAGCCAGCAGTTTGGTGTGTAAACACAATTCCTTTAGAATGGAAATAAAGAAAAGTAAGAATGTAAGTACTATGCAAAATAACTGCAAAAGTACACAGGAATCTAAACTATTAATTCCTACAGTTTATATAATGAAGATATACAGATCTTATATCTCATCAGATTACAATTACTTGCTATAGAAAAGCAGTTCAATATGTCTTAACACTAAAGACACTATATGAAAATGCAAAATTTACTGGTAGAAACGTAATGCACAAGTTTCTACTGAGCAGTACATCTTTTACTAAATTTTAACAGATTACAATATTTTCAGATATCCATGTTTTTGGTTACATATTAATTTAGGATGCTTTGCAGTTGAACAGTTTTGTTTTTGTTTAGCCCTTTTGGTTTCTACACCTTTACCCTTTAGTACGGAATGAAAAGCATATGGGTAAAGCCTTTGACTTCAATTAAAGACTGGACTGCTATGGTCTTAAATGGTATTCCTTCACCTCCTGAACTTTACTGAAAAACTCTTTATATGTATCCAAAAATCACGGTGCCTGTTGAAGCAAAGCAGGAACTCCATGGGGTGTAAATAACTTCCATGTGTTCTTCTCCAAACTGCTCACCACAGATCAAATGGGGATATTGTGATTTTTGTTAATCTTACAACCATTTTGCCTGTTTTGGCCAACATTGATTACATCTGCACTCAGCGACATAAATAATGCAATATCGAATGATTGGTTGGCTTCATACTACAGCATAGCAAGATTATAATAATTATTTTATTTTTAAAAATGCTTTATGTGCAATTCTATGTAGGAGAACTCACAGAATTAAAAGCATATTAAACTCAAAACACCAGGAACAGTATAGTTTGCCTAGAAACATGTTTCTTACTGGACATTTTTTAACAGTGCAGTAATATTTGTTTCCCAAACAATCCTTATCTCTAGCTTCTCATATGCCTAATTTTCAACGTGTACTGTCCCCTCAGCACTGAGACTTCAACTGACAAAGGAAACAAAACCTGAAATTAAGTTGTTCACAAGAGTACCTGCAGTGGCATCCTGAGGAGCTCAGGAACCTGGAAGTCCAGCATGTTTTCAAACCTCAATCTGCTGAACAGATGAAAGCAGATGCCTGGCCTACAGCGCCCCGCTCTGAGGAACAAAGAAAGCAGGTTAATCCAATTATCGAGCACCCCTTTTAAATCCTGTGAATGGACCAGAAGCCATCCAAAACAGTGCTTTTTTAAATAATAAAAAAGAGAAAAGTGATGGCTGTATAGAATGTTTCTAAGACACATTTGAACTGTCCTGACATATCTCCAGAAAAACGTTTTAATTCATAATTAGGGACAACACCAAGCATCAATGTACTACCAGCATACCTTCCTCTCCTCTGGATTGCACTCGCCTTTGATATCCACACCATCTTTAACATTGTCACATGGTTGAGGGCATCAAAAGACTTCTGTAACACAAACAGGATGTAGAAAAATGTCATGCACTCCAGTGGAAAAACAGAACACAAGACTTCCGACTGAAGCAGATAAAAAATTACCTCTTTGACTTTGCCAGAATCAATAACAAAGACCACATCATTCACCGTAATGCTGGTTTCTGCAATATTGGTTGAGAGAATCTGTCGTTTAGAACAAAAACAAAAGAGCCAAAATCACTAAAAAGAAACTTAATAAGGGTTTTTTTTTCTATTCTGTCACACTGTGTACTTACTATTTTACGGATGCCTGGAGGTGGGTTTTTAAGTACTCTCTTTTGGTCAGAGGTATTCATATTTGAATGAAGAGTGAACACTTGATACCTGTCAGAAAACAGCAGAAATAAATTATAGACCAATCCATATAACACTTCATCAAATAGTTTTGATTTAATATTGTAGCAAACAATTCTTTTTTGTTTTGAGAAAACTAAAACTTCAGCATTTGTATAGATGGCTACAACACATTTTATCTATCTTCACCTCATGTACAGGTATATACCTAAAATCACATAGTTAATGGAGAAGATGTGCATCTTTCTCTGGTTATGTGGGTATGGAATTGAAATAACAAGGCATACAAAACACTGTTGCTCCACATTTCCAGGAAAATAAGACCGTGTATCAAGAAGCACTACAGTTCAAGAGTCATGTACTGTATATGACTGGTAGGTTAATTGGCTTATGGGACAGTTGGCCTTGGTGTGAATGTGTGCGTGTCAGTGTCTGTGTGTGCCATGCAGTGGACTGGCGTTCAATCCAGGGTGTATCCTGCCTTGTGCCCATTGCTGGCTGGGATAGGCTCCAGCTCCCTCGTGATCCTGTACTGGATGAAGTGACTAGAAAATGGATGGATGGAAGTCATCATACCAATTCTTTACCTCTGAGAATGGTCTGCAAATCTTTTATCATCATAAAGGATGCGATCCCGAAGCCCTACAATTTCATCATATCCTGGTAGAAAAATTAAAATTGCACCTAAACAGAAATAAAATAATATAACAATAAATACCAAATGACTGATTTACAGTGCATTTATAAAACAATTTCGTGAATAAAATCAATGTAATCTATCCCTCCCTGTACTATAGAACACCTGTATGGATTAAATTGCAAAAACTTTTATTATATTGTATATGTTAAACAATACTTTTCACAGCTTTTAATAATATCAATAGCAAAATTAGTTCTGCATAAATGTCTTCATATTACTTGTGCCACCAAGACAATAATACAAAGGAATTTTCTTTGAAAGGTAAAAAACAATGGACAAATCTTTAATGCAGTTAAGCTGCATTAAAACAGTCCTATTGATTAAATTACAACCTTGAAGAAAACACCAGCTGAGGGCCCTACCGTCGTCAGAGGTCTGACAGATATTGTATAGGAGGTGCATGATGAGGTCCAGGTCCACCTTCTCATCATCAAAGCTGTGATGGTAACTCTTCAGGAGCTCCTGTTCCTCAGTGCTCAGCACACCACATTCTGTGTGTACAAGCGAGCTCTCATCCAGCTTCACAGCTTCTAATGAGGAGCTGTACACACAAAACCAGAGACAAGTTATAGAATTACTACTTGTATCTAGAAGAGACCAAATTTCCTTTCTTAATGAAGGTATGATGTGCTTAATCTTGCTTTGCTGTGGTCATATTCTTATAAAACAGAACAGAGAACAAATAAAGCAAAGTTCTAGGAAATGGAAGCCAAACACGCAATAGTGTCCACATCTTATCACTTTTTTTGTGCTTGACTTTTTTTCATGCAGATCTTTTTTAATCGCAATGTGTTTTTCTTTCTCTGTGACTATATTAATGACTGGACTTTAGACAACATGGCAGGCTCTGGGTTCTTAATATTAAAACATTAATGGCATAACATAATTTGCACAAGGATGGCTGAAATGCTAATTTCCCATTTCTTTAACTTCTCATGTTTTCTGCTGATATTATTTATGGTATGAGAAATACCACAAGCACCTTTCTTTCAAATTGTCTTTACACATCAATTTATGTATAACCGTGACATTGGAGACCTTACAAACAAGAAGGTCACACACAAATACCTGTATCCAAGACTCACCTTTATTCAAGAATCCCAAGTCATCATCATAATGATTCATAGCCAGCAGACAAAGATGCATGAGTAGAGGAGGGACACAATCAAAATCAGACATAAACAAAACTGACATACATACTGTAAATGAACAAAACTCCTGTCCATTGCTAATATTGTAACATGTACAGTATTTTAAAGGTATTGATGTTAGATGTTAGTGAAGTTGATAATATGAGTGCACAGGTGGAAAAGAAACAATACCTTTTATGGACTACTGTGCCATAATCCTTTTTTGAGACTTGTTTTTGTTGTTTTACATGTAAGGTTCATTTCTCATTAACTACTATGGCTCTTCATTTTAAAAAGTTAACATTTAGAAAAGCAAAATAATTAAACCAAATAAAGTCTTATTTCCCTCTTCAATAAATGTACTTACATATAAGACTCAAGTACTTCAATTGCTTCAGTTTGGTCAAATCGCTTAGCCCAGTCCAGTGCTGTCCTGAAATGTTAGAAAAACAAGCATAAATATACATGCAATAAAATTCAATGAAAAAATTGAATTTATTACTTTTGAAATCATATTATATTTCAAACATTTACATAAAGATTTGAAGGCATTTCAAGGATCTATAGAAAGAAGGAAAAAGCCTCAACACTATCAAAGTATATATATATAATACCAAAGTGTTACAATAGAAAAAAAAAGTGTATGACATATGAGGTATAATTCAATAAGATTGACATGGACAAAGGTACAGCATAGTTGCTGCACACCTCGTAATACTCCTAATACCAAAAGCAAAATATACATTGTAATCCTAGTTTTCAAATGCAAGGCAACATACAAAATGGGTTTGCAAACAAGCATACAAAATTGGGTTTCCGAGAAGACTGGAAAACTAGAAAGACAAAAACAAAGCTGAAAAGGTCCAGCAATAAATAAGATTAGCTGTGTCAGCGTGTTTTATTTCACCCTGGTCTTACCAGCCATTGGATGCTCTCAATTCCACACTGGCCCCCATGCTGAGCAGCTGCTCGACATGACTCACAAATCCTCTGGCCGCCGCTACCATCAACGGCGAGACGCTGGTCTTGCTGTGCCTGTAATCAACTGAAAGCAGGAATGGCACAGATAACTACAGGTCAGGTAGGACAAATAAACACTTCAATTACCCAATACAAAACCTTAGTTGTCTGCAAACAGTAATACAACAAGTGACTGTCATGACTTCTTTCATGATCTGTTGCGCTGAATATATTCTAAAAAAATGTTAGAAAAAGATCTTAATAATCTATTATAGTATAAGCACATAATACACAACAGATCTAGTTACCACTGGAATCCAAACTTGAAACTGCTATTTCAAGTTTTGATTTCTTATTCATTTAACGACAAGCACCTATTATAAAACAGAAGCCAGTCCTATGTTCATGAAACCAAACTAATTCTTTTAACTTTTTATTATTTTAAAATTATGAAAATTATGAATTTGCCAGTAAGAAATCTAGTTTGAAATGACCAACTTAGTATTCTGGGTTTACTATCACAAATGAGGTATGCTTTCATTTACAAAAGAATAAATATGTTATAGATTATACTGTTCGCCATACAGCGCCATGCAAAAGTATTCAGATCCTTACATTTTAATCATTTTGTTGCTTTAAAAATAGTCATGGTCATGTGCACGTTAAAGTGGCAATTTTATTTTTAAGTGCACAACCTACTCCACACATTCAAACAAAAAAGCAAAAGGCAAGAACAGAAATATGAATTAAATTAAAGCTAATAATATGACAGAAAAAGTCATAATTTGGATAAGTATTCAAACCATTTGCTATAGCAAACCTAAATTAACTTAGGTGGACAAATTAACTCAATGAGGCATACGGTTAGCTGAGTGGTCTCTCTGTGTGTGAAATAATAGTGGTTCACATGATTTCACAATAAATGCATCTCTCTCTTTAAAGTCTCTCAGTCAGGTAGGTTGTCAAACAAGGATTAAACCATAAAGACCAAGGAGCTTCCAATCAACTCAGAGATAAAGCTGAAGAAAGCACCAAAGATGAAAGTTATGGAAAAAAAACACAGAATATCCCTTTGAGTACTCTGAAGACAGTCATTAAGAAGTGGAATGTTAATCAAACACAGACGCTGCCTCAATCAGGCTTTCCCTACTAGCTGGGCAGCCGCACTGGGAAACTGGTAAGGGATGTCATTGTGAAGCCAATGACAACTTTGAAAGTTAGAGGTTCAGTGGTGAGAAAATGTCAACGGCTCAACAATATCCTGGTCACTCTAGAACAGGGCTTTGTACGGAACTTAAAAATAAAGCATCTGAAATCCTGATGAAAACCCAACATATTGCATTACTCAGTCAACACCACCTCTGCTGTCAAGCATAGTGGTGGCAGCATATAGAGAAACAGTTATAGTTCTGTTTCTCATCAGCAAGGACTGGGAAGCTTGTGAAGACCTTGGGAACATACAGTAGCTGGAGCAAAGTAGTGGCAAATCCTGGAGGAAAGCCTGCTAAACACCTAGAACTGGAACAAAAAAAAACACCTTTCATCGGGACAGTGATCCAAAGAATAAGCCAAAACTACACTGGAGTTGCATAAGAATGAGAAAGCGAATGTCCTAGAGTGGCCTTTTCAAAGTCCTGATATGAACCCTACAGTGGATCTGTGGAAAGACTTGAAAGCTGCTGTTCATCAGAGATCACCAAGCAACATGAAAGCTTGAGCTAATTTTCCAAAAGGAATGAACAAAAATGGCAACAGGCCGGTGTCCAAAGATGGTAGAGATTCACCCCAAAAAATGGTGGCTGTAACTGGTGCCAAGGAGCTTCCATCACATTTTACAGTCATGGATCTGAATGCTTATGCTATTAACATATTTCAGTTTTAACTCTTTAGGTTTTGCTGAAATTTATGGTAACATATCTTACCCTTTAATGGCCCGCAATATGCACTATGCACTTAAAAGCACTCTCATTATTAAAAAGAAACATAAGAAAAAATGTACACAAAAAGTTACACAAATAGAACAGATTTATGGAATAAACAAACATTTAGCTTACCGCTGACATTTTCACTTAAAATGAGGTTAAACAGCTGAACAAATGCATCGACATCTTTATTAAGGAAGATATCAGAGATGCAAGCATCCATTTCTTTTACCAGCCAAGGCTCAAGTGAAGTAGCATCCTTTTCATTCTGCATTAAAAGGATTAAAACAAACAAATATTTCAGATTGATTATCTCTTTGAGTAAAATCTCACTTCAAAATAATTTATATTTTGTAACTTAGAATTTGCATCAAGAGTAAAACTGTACCAGACACGGTGCTGGCAGTGAGGGTAGTGTGGAACAAGCTCTTTTGGAATAAGCTATGTCGTATCTTGACAGGGCTGGCTTGGGTCACATGTTATTTATTTTTACCCTGTTACCTGCACATGTCAATACTAAATAGACACAAGAATGAATGTTAACCAACTATAGAAACAAGGCAGGCTTTGATAAGTGATTTGAAATAAAAAAACAGATTTCTCATTATCACTGTTATTAATAATTGTTATAATTGTATAAATTATATAAGGTTGGTTGGCATGATGGCTCAGTGGTTTGCACTGCTGGGACCCTGGGTTCAATTCCGGACCTGGTGGTCTACAGTATCTATGTGGAGTCTGTATGTTCTCCCGGTTCTTATGGGTTTCCTCCAGGTGCGCCAGTTACCTCCCAGTCCAAGGACACAGTGGTAGGTTAACTGGGTTCTGGAAAAAGTTACCCTACCGTGCAAGTGTGTATTTATATCTAGGGTGTATCCAGCCATGCACCCGCTACATGGAGATATAAGATTATGTCATCAGGAATTTGTATCTTACAAATAATTAGCCCATATGATTTAAAAAAAATCAAATTTAGGATATTAATTTAGGGCAATCAACCACTACTTACAACTAGTGCACATGCTCACACTGAATGCAGTGATCTCAAAAGGAAAACTGCCTTTCACATTATGCATAGAATAGCACTGGTAACAGCTGAGGTAGAAAATGCTAGAAAAAGTACAGTTCACATTTGCAAAGATTTACATCAGCTGAAATATCAAGAATTTGAAGATTTAGCTCTTTTATCACCTCTGACACCTCTGACGTTTTTTAAAAACAGAATTTACCTGCAGGATTGCATCACATTGGTCATATACCTATTCTACAACTAAAAATCCTTGAATGACAAACTGCACTGGAAAATGTTTAGAATATTTTGGCACAGGTCTTGCACAAATGCACATTTTATCCTATTATGAGTGTTTTGTACATGCACACACATACTTAATTTTTTTTCTATAATCATCTATTTTAATTGAAAACAGATTAAAAATATCATGTGAATGAACAGGCATATACTGTATAACTTTAAAAAAATAATAACATTACCAGCTGACTAAATACAGCGTCGCCACCACCATCAAAAAAGTCATTATCCTGTAACAGATAAGAGGCAGCTTTGTCTCTCTGAGGCTCTTGTGTGCTGTTCTTTCTCATTTCTGGTCTGCTGTTTCTGTCCTGATCTTTGCACCAATCGGTGAGCAATGTCTTTTGCTTTTCCTCTGTAAAAGGAACACACTCTGTAAGACAGGGGGCACAGGGGTTGTAAGCATTCCACATCTGAATTCATAGTCTTAAGGTCTGTGGTCATCCACAAAATACATCACCACACCTTCTCAAATACTTGAATCTTAGTCATGTCAAAACTAGTACGGACTTCAGAACTTTCATACCACATACTAACATAGTTTCTATGTACTGTATACAGGATGTGAGTTACCAATGGTTTCAGAAAACCTTTCTTGTATTTTTCACTTTACCTTTTAGCTTATCCTCCTTGTATTTCTTCATGTCCTTGTTTGTATATCCAGTTGTCCGTAAGATATCTTCTAGGAAAAGAGCCTTAACTTCAAATGGTCTTCCCTTGACTGAAAATAATAACATTTTGGTGAGAAAATGATAGATTTTGGTAGAATGGTAGATTTTGTCAACTGCACTTCACAAAAAGTCCAAAGAGCCACTTACAACAGTAGCTTGATTTTACGTTAATTATCAAGGGGACAGCACAAGAAGGTTTGGTATGTAGCTCAGAAAAAAATAAAGTTAATCCGTGTCATAACTAAAGTTTGAAATGGGATCTTCCAGCAACTATAACAATTTCCCTTAACCACCCAACATGTTTCTTATATTGTACTATCGTATATGGCTTCTGTGCTCCACAAATCCACATACAATGGAATTTGAGTATAATATTCCTGAGATGTAATGTACACCAAGTTCATAATATCCTTAAACCGATATTAGATTTATAAGCCAATAACTAGAAAATGCTTCATTTCCATAGAGCAACCCCGATTCTTCTGAATGATGATGACATATATCAAAACACAATAAACAAATCGTAACAAAACCTCAACACAAGGTTTATTCAAGGTGCAACACAAAAATTTTAGTACAAATATGACATTTTCAATGATGATACATCTGTATCTAGCTTAAATAAAACACTCATTTACTTACTGTATATAACTGGGCATGAGCCGAAGTATCTTACAAACAGGTTCACGTCAAGAGCTGCGCTAGACAGAATTAGTTTCAAAGATGGCAATTTCTGCATTATGTCCCTAATTTTAGTCAGCAGGAAATCACTTAGCCCATCCCTCTCATGTACTTCATCCTAAAACAAAGAGAAAGTAAAGTGTTACTGAGAAGGTTTGAGGTCATTAACTCGAGCATGAAACTTCATATTATGATTATGAACTAAAAATATTTAGGTGTAACAACAGAATTTAATTTGACTGACCTGCGGAGCTGCATGTCTTGAAATTTAAATAAACATGCAATCAGAAAAGTCAAAATGCTTTCATGAATTTATTTTATTACTATGTAAATAAAAGACCACCAAGGTTTCAAGATCAATAAGGATCTCTTCGATAGAACTATTTAGTAATGATTTAAACACCACAAAATCCATTGAGTTATATAGTTACTTCCTTATTTAAAACAAAAGCTAATTGGCCTACTGTATTATTACAACGAATATGTTGTTATACTGAAATTATTGTTTTAATTGGGGGGGCCTACATATTGTCCACAAACATTGCACTGTTGCTTTAGTACCTCTTAGAAAAGGTGTTATAGTTATCCTATTAAGATGATGCTTTGAGAAACAGTGTACAAATACACGTCATTTTTATGATTTCCTGTTGAAACAATGTCTTTACTATAATAGAAATCATATATTTCATTCATTTTCAAAATGGAAAAAAATTTGCAGCTATCATGAGATCACCAGGGCAATAAATTTCAGCTGTGCAAAACACAAAGTGTATTTATCATTTTTGTATCTTCCACAATTTATGTATTCAAATAATCATATACTGTGTAGTTTAACAAATTCCAAATTATGTATTTCTTACCACTATGACATGTGTTACGGTTGCCAAACTAGCATCTCCGGCCATCAGCGTACGCAGAAGTACACCACTAGTGCAGAATGTAAGCAGGGTTTTTGGAGAAACTCTGAAAGATGAAAGAAGATTAAATAAATTACAGGGGTCTTATGTATCGGCAAAGCTTGCCGTACAGACTTTCACATGACAGCTTGTCGCAGCAGTGATGTCCAACAATGTCTTAAAGCCCCAAGACTGAAATATTAACGGATGATAAGAGCATAATTGACTTTGAATGCGTCTTCTACCTGCTTTCAAGTCGGATTTGGTATCCTACGGTCTGACCAATCTTTTCCCCTCTCTCTGCAGCCACTCGCTCAGCCACAGCAATGGCTGCAAGCCTCCTTGGCTGAGTGCAGAATATTCGGCACGGGACTGCACTCTTGCTAGAGTCGTCTAAAATGAACTGGGGAACCTTAAACAGAAAAAAATAAGCATTCGTTCCGCCTCTCCAAATGCTTCTATTATGATGCAAGAAAATGGTTAAAGATCGTGTTAACAGAATACTTTAGTTTAATGGTGACCTAGGGTGCTATGTCCAATTATGGTTTGGGTTTTTAATTTTAGAACTGTTATTTATTTTTTAATTAGTTACCTTCCCACCTTGGAATCGCTAAATTATATTATGTCTCGGCTCACACTGATGATCCCTAGTACCCCCAGAGGGAAACTGAGGAGCTGCAGATAGACTCCTCCAACCCACCCATTCATTTGAGTCTTTAACTTTCTTTTTGACATGTCACGTCATGCTCTGCAGGAACCTAAAGGAGACTCAAATCCAAATGAAGAGCAGCACCCTTCACTGATGTTGGCGTGAGGCTGCAGGTGCCTCAGGGACTCTCACAGTTCAGTATTTTGTGAGAAAAACACCCTTATCTCCAGCTGCTTGTGGAATCCCAGTCATAGTCAGCTAGTAACACGCAACCTCTGGAGCAAGAGCACTTAACGTCTGAACCACGCGAGATGCCCAAAATAGTTTTCTTGACTTTCTTTAAAATACTGTACATAGACGAGGTGAGGCACACAGGTTGTGAGCAAAGGAGGATTTCATCTGATCATACAGTATGTACTATGGCTTGGTTCAAAGTTTGGGTATTTTATATCTAAATCCCTCTAAATACAACTTGTAGAAATTGGCACAGAGAGAAAAATGTTTTTACCTGGGATTATATCAGGATATCTTTGACCAACAAAATGTATCTTGGATTTAAAAAAAACATCTGTGCAATTAATGGTAAAAACAAGGCATCTCCAAAAAGAACTGACCTGTGTGGTCTTTCCAGATCCAGTTTCTCCAACAATTAATACCACCCTGTTCATTTTAATAACCTGGACAATTTCTTCCTGTCTTTCAAACACTGGAAGTGAGCGCCTGAAGGAGTCTAAGTCAGAGGCTCCTCGCCGCGCAGGAGTCTGAGGGATCCCATTGTTGAGGCGCCCGCTTGTTCTGTTTTTCTCTCTTTCTGGAAAATTAAGTTCTGATTTATTTATGAACCTAGTAACAAAAGTACACGTAAAACTGTGCGGACACAATACGCAGTGTACAGGGTGGCCATGTCAATCTTAAATAAAAGAAAAAACATCTTTAACGTGCTGTACAAACAGGTCATACGCATGATGAAAGCCTACTTTTTCTCCAAAAAATCTTATACGCCAGTTTCTGAAAGTAAATAACCTCTGCATATAATGGTGTATGATGATCGATTAGAGCAGTGGTTCTCAAACTTTTCAATCCCAGGGCCCATTTACAGAAATGTTAAAGTTATGTGCCACGCTTCCCCCCCCCCACTACACACAGGTATACGTCACCAGTTTGAGCACGTTATTATATTATATACAACCTTGGCAGGAATCAAATGCAGTGAAATGCGGAGCTCCTGCTCAGCTACTTTCAGATGTTTTCCGTATTTTTTTTTATATCTGTCAAACTTCAAAAACCCAGCTTGTACCACATGCGATTCCAACCTACTGTATACAGTCCCACAGCGCGGCGTCTGTATGATGTATTTATGCTGAACATGTCAGAGAAGCTTTGGTTATGCCACAAAACTTCCATTTTTATTGAAAACAATTCAATTTGTATTTCTCACATGTGACTTCTTCAAAATTCCATGGCACATACATTAATGTCTGAGGCATACGGGCTAGGAAACACTAGGTTAAATTAAATTTCTATCTTTCTATCATATGTAGTTAGAGCACAGAAAAAAAATAAATTTTAAAAACAATATAATACAAAATTATTCATACACTTACCGGCTTCGACAGCAACTGACATTCCCCTTTCAGATCTAGGCAAAAGGTCAGTTCGCTCTTTGTTGGTCACAGGATATCTCTGAAGCAGACTTCGTACAAAATGCTTGGTATTGAGGGACAGGCTGAAGTTCATTAGGGAATGTGCTCCCTCCGAACCATCCTTCTTCTTCACGGTAAGAAATCTGTTTGTTCCTTTTCTGAAACAGCAGGTTTTAATTGATTTTTGTAAAACGCCCTTCCAGAATATATACAATGTAAAGGTAGCACTGCACTTAATTAATGTGCTTCAAATATTGATGAGCAAAAATTACAAAATAAAAAGAAAGAACAAAATTGTGCGTCGTGTTAACCCATTGTCAGAGGTTTCACAAAAAGTAAATTTTTCTTACCCACTGCCACAGACATTTACAAATTCACCCTAGATTATATTGTATATGTGTGTTGAAGAATCTCTATTCACAACTGCTAGCCAGGTTTGACATTAAACATGCATTTAAAAACATTCTTTCCAGAAACTATAACTACAAAAACAGATGTAATCAAAGTTTAACTTGTACAATACGATATAACACCAAATGAAGTATTTGAAACATGCGACTGGCTCAAAACTCACCCTTTACTTTTAGAAATCAGACCTGATGACTGGGCCAGGCGATGAACAAAGGCACGTTCGGTGCTTGTCAAGGAAGATGGAAACTCCATTTCTGTAACATCATTGACAGAGGGAACTTGGCAAACTGTGCATTGTTGTATTCTAAGCAAATCTATGAAGGATTCATTTTTATTATCCAGCAGCCCACAGAATACAAACACTTTTCATGGCATGTTTATCAAAAGTTGGTTTCCACTTATACACCCATGGTGATTTTCCTTCCTCAATCATATAAACACTGTAACAACAAAGAATAGTTTTCGGTTACCTTTTTGATCACTGTATCGAAACCTCTCAAGTGCGGCATTAACAGCAATCTTCACTTCTTCATCAACCCTGATATCTTTCAGTCCTTTGGCCCTGCCCCTGGAACAAGACGGTTTGGGCTGGGGTACAACTGGCCTTGTGGACCCACTACGTGACATGTTGCTCTACAAAAGACAAAGTTACATTTTTTGCTGATGTTATCCTCCAAGGAAATGGTTTCAGATGTACACTGCTCTGCAAAGGAGCTACATTCAATTTTGCCATCAGAACTTTACAGTGAATACAGTTGTTTGGGTAAGAAGAAACCAAGCTTGTTATTTAGAAAACATTTATTCATATCAATCAGAATCCTGAAAAACATGAACACAAAGTAAACTACAGAAGTCCTGTAGAATCTACTGTAACCAATCGCATTTATCCATCAAATCTAATAAGACTCACCGTAAAATGTGTGTTGTAGTACTTTGTGTACTACAAATTCCAAATTGTTCAAGATTAAAACATGTTAAAACAAAATGACTAAAACTCCAGTACAAAATCGCCACATAAATACAGGGCTGCATAAGAAAAAAAGAGACTTTAATCAAAGACCTTAACACAGTAGTACGTCCAATACAATGACCTACAAGTAGTAAATATGTCAAGATCAAGTGTTGCAAACACGATTCTGGACGCTTGCTCCACTTTAGCATTTGAAATAGCACAGAAGCCACACCTGCAGTCTGCTCCAGCTTAAGCAGAAAGGCGTTATAATGAGGGTGGCACCTTGGCGCAGTGGTGAGCATTGGACGGTGCAGTTCCTGGGCTGCTATCTGCAAGGAGTTTGTATGCTCCCCCAGTGATAACGTGGGATTTTAAACTGGAGCACTCCACATACATAAAAATCCATCATATTTTTTAATGTAATCAAACTAATGTGTTGAACTGCCCCCAACATAAAATGTGTATTATATGGTACGTATCCCACGGTCACAAATGCAATTTGCATGGCCATAAAGCAAAAATAAGGTTTTGACTGTGCTGTGTTGATATTTCTGGAGAACACCGCATGTGTAACTCCGTTCACAAGTCTTTCTCGTCACTATCCAGTGGACATAAAAAATGCTCTTGATTAGTACACTAAACCAGTTGGGTGCTGCATATGGTGGTGGTGGAGGGGAGACCCCATTACCTGTAAAGCGCTTTGAGTGGAGTGTCCAGAAAAGCGCTATATAAGTGTGAGCAATTATTAATTATTATTATTATTATAAACCAACGAGAGGAGAGGTCAGGGTGCTGAACCAGAGACAAGAGTGCTGAGGGCCCAAATTCAGGGCGGCGCACCGCTGTAGTGCAACTCAAGAGTGCGCCACTAATTACCTAATTACTTTATAAAAGGATCTGCAGGTCGGCACAGGGAGCGGACTCGGGAGGAAAGAAAAAAAAAGGTTAACGGAAATAAACCATCCTTTTACCGGTGTGCTTCAACTGCTAGAGGTAAGGCTGTACTCTAGTCCTGGGAATTCTTAGGACATAATGTCACATGGACAAACCAGGGAAATAAGCCTCAAATTAAAATGTACGTGCACGCAGAGAAGTGACTGTTTAATGAAAGGAGGATTCGGCATGCACAGTATGCAATACGGGTCAGTGCAGTATACAAATGTTTTATTTTAAGAACAGGCGTTGCCTCCTAGGTTGACTATAAAGTCCTCAATAAACTGCTGATCTGTCACAAAGGTTATTCTTCATTTTGTGAACGGTGCGATAAGTTTCATTTCTCTCTGTTGTCCTCCGCTAAAGCAGGCACGTTTGCAAAGTTCGGTCTTCCAAGCGCTGGCAACGTCTTCCGAAATCACCTCAGCATGTTTTCATAGACACCACGATACCAGTAACGAGTCGTTTCTCACGACACTTTTATCCTTTAAGCACATAAACCTCGCGAAACGTACATATTTAAGAACTGAAGACAATAAAGCGTAAAGCAGCGGAATCATTCCAGCTATTCTGTTCTAGATCCACAGCCTGCTGTTAACAACAAGGCCGGTTTAGTGACCTGCAGACAGAATTTAAAATTCATATTTTGGCTCCGGACAGTGTGAGTCTTTTAAATGTTAACATCACCTTACTCGAATCGATATTTCAGTACATGACGTTTATATTAACCTGTGTCCCAGACCAAACGCACCTCTATTCTCGACTTCACTCACTGCTCCCTTTCGTTTCTTCGCTTTCAAAAGCCGAATCCAGGAACTTGGGGTGACGTCACCGCCCCCGGTTACCCATGCTCCCGCCTCGCCGCTCGGGCTGGCCAATCTCGCGGAGCTGCACGCTGTCGCCACTCCCCGTTGCCACTTCTCTTAAACGCTGTAATTTCATAATGTTTGGTCGAGATTGATGAAACATTAAAGCATATTCCTACAGATAGACTGATGGAGGAATGTGATTCGAGACAGTAATTCGTAGTTATTTCAAATATTACCCATGTCATTTCATTGGTGAGATTTGAAAGGTGGTAGTTCATAATTACTGTCCCTGAAAAAAGTATAACCTCTCACTGGTTCTGCATATTGTGATTTCTTTGAAAAACCAATACCTCTATGCAGTTTATTACACTACCACACTGCCGTAGTTTCCTAAAAACAGTAAATATATTCACATATGTACATGTACAATAGATGTGCGTGACTGCTACATAGAGTACATTCAGTACTTTATCCAGTGCCTGAATATACCGAAAACCACTAGGTGACGCCTGCGTACCATTATTTTCCTGTACATTTCACTGAAACAACAAGGTGATGGAGTGACTAATAACCGTTCGGTTTTTATTGCTAGTTAAGATATAAAAAGGTTAACTCTATTCTTAATTATTTTGGTTCTGCCTGTAAGACATTAACATAAACGTATGGAAATAAGAAAAACAACTAAGCACATTAAAAAAACTGATAAATATCAGAACTAAGAAGAATAAAAAATGAAAGACGTCCTTCAGAAGACACTTGAAAGAAACGATCCGGGCGAAATGAACAGTAAAGGCTGAAGACTGGCGAGGCAGTGTAGACTGGGAGGACTCCAACCAGCATAAATACATGACAAGTGAACGACAGGCAGCACATTTCCAAGGCCAATGATAGCGCTTGAATGGAGAGCGCAATGTTGGCTTACTATGGTGACAATTTGTCTATGTTCAGGTGGGTAGCTGCGTCAGCATGCGTAGGAAGCAAAGGAACAAGTAATAGGTTTATTCCATGCTGAAAAAAGAAGAAAGACAACAACGTTTCGGCTGTGGAGCCTTCTTCAGGTGTGAGAAAGACAAGGCAGTAAGCAAAGGTAATGTAGCGCGAGAACAAAGGTTGGGAGGGAGGAGGAGTGAGAGGCGGGAGCAGGGGACAGAAAGAGAGGCCAATCAAGAGGTGTGAAGTCAGAATAGGTGTAGAGAGGTGTGAAATAAAACCTACAATGAATAGAGAGAGTTTAGAAGAAAAGTAGTCTGTCGTTAAGAGAAGGGGGAAGGTGTGATCCTAAATGCAGGATAATTTTGGTTTCTGTAGTCTTTCTGATGTATGAGTTCGGAAAACCATCTTTAAGAACACAGACGGAGAGATTAGAGTGGTCGTGGCCGTCGGAGGTGAAATGAGAAACAATGGGCTTGGAGAGATCTTTAATCTTCACAGCCCTGACGTGTTCTCTGAAGCGGTCTCCGAGTCTCCTTCCTGTTTCTCCAATGTAGATGGCTGGGCATTTACTGCAAGAGATACAGTAAATAAGGTTGCTGGAGGTACAAGATGCCATCTGGGTGATACAGAATTTTCCTGAGGGGCCTTGAATGAGTGTGGTGTTAGATGTGTACTTGCAGGTGATACATCAAGCTCTGTTGCAGGGGAAAGTGCCTGGGGTGGATGGTTGCTGAGGACGGTCAAGGGAGCTGTGAACAAGAAGGCTGTGCAGATTAGGTGATCGGCGATATGAGATGATGGGGCGGTCAGAAAAGAGGGCCCCAATGGAGGGATCATCCTGTAGGATGGAAAAGTTGTCGTTATTAGTCCTGGGGATAGGAAGTGTGTTGGGGTGGTAGGGAAGCACCAATGGAATGCGGTTGTTACGGCGGGAGTTCCTGATTGAGTTGATGGTCTGAGGGGTGTTTTTGGCTTGGGCAAGGGCCCTGTCAATAACACTGCTGGGGTATCCTCTGTTGATGAAAAAGGAGTACATTTTGAGGGCTTGGTTCTGGAAGTCGATCATGGCCTCCTAATAATCCCTATCTATGAATTGGCTTCATCACTCTCCTCCCCATTAATAACTGGCGTGTGGTGTATGGTCAGCGTTCTGGTGCACAATGGCTGCCGTCGCATCATCCAGGCAGATGCTATACATTGGTGGGGGGGTGTACTTCATTAAACAATACATTTCTATTTTTCATAAACTTTTTACACAGTACACGTGCATGTAAATTGTGCAGTGATGTATGAAGCTCTCACCTTGTTACAAGGATTTTAGAGGGAAAGGCATCAAAGACAATCAGACAGAAGTGTTACAAAGAAGATATGCCTCTCTGAAATCAGTCCCAGAGAAGAGCAATCAAAAAAAAAAATCCCTGGACTTACAAAAATGCCGACACTAACTATAAAAGAACTGATCGTTTTTAGTCTTGTATGGAAAAGACTACAAGCTGATCTGATTCAAGTAGTGAACATCCTTGAAGGGACGGCAGTCAGTCCAATGGACTTATTCCCAGTAATGAAACAAGAACCTTGGGATTCATGGTTACTGTATTACAACTGTATTACAAAATGTTGAGTCTACCAAGCTAAACGTTTCTTCTCAGTTAGCACCTTTACTGGAAGAGCAGTAATTAGAGAAATGTACTGAGCTGCTTTTATTGTCACGATTGTAGTCCCTCCTCCTTAAGCACGCTCCAGCTCTTCCTTGTTTGCCCTATTCCCCGCACCTGTCCCTTGTTCCAGTCTTCTTCCTGTCCCTTTAAAAGCCAGACGCAATTGCCAATCGAGGCTCTGCATCTGATCTCCGCATCCTGCGAGCCTGGGACCTGGTTGCGCCTGGCTCCCTTCTGTTTTTAGCTTCCTGCTCCTGCCCCCCCGCCGGTCCCGACCCGGCACCTGTTTTTAATCCCTGGTTTTTGGATGGGTTACATGGCCATGGACCTTTGCTTTCGTTTTGGATTCTCCCTTTGGATTTCCTCTGATTGTTTGCCTCGGCCACACCTCCCCCGTACACCAGCGCACTTTGGACACGTCCCCCTGTCTTCATTCCCATATTCCTGCATGACTTTTTCCCTAGTGTTTTCTCACAATTCTGGTTTGTGTCGTCCAGATAGGGTCCGGAAAGAACTGTTCGTTACATTTATCCTTCCCTATAAGTGTTGTAGGGTTATTTTTTGAAAAACTGAAATGATTTGTCTTAAGTAACAAATCCATAGACCACAGCAGATTCGTGTGTAATGAGTCATGTTTCTTCTTAATTTCATCTGCTCATTTTATCACATTTTGATAACTTGGTACTAGAATTTCTAAATAGTAATTATTACTAAATTGTTATCCTTTTTTTTTTACTGGTTTTCAACTTGTTACTCATTTTACTGTGTTATTTTGTAAATGTCTCACTTATATACCGCATAAAAAAAACTGTTGCTGTTGACATTAAAAAAATGTTTTGCTTTTTGATTGGGAATGAAAAACTGGAATGTCTTCCCCGTTTCTTAAGAATAAAACAATAGGGATGAAGTAAATAGATGAAGGAAGAAAATAGATTCAGGATTTTCTGAAGAAGTTACTATTGAGAATAGGCTGCCAGAAAAGGATGGAGTGCTCATACTGCATTAACGTTTAGAAGGTACAATGCATGTTAGTGTGGAGAAGTAGTTCTCAGCAGCTGCTCTTAAAAAGATAGGTTAGAGACGAAAATCCCTCATAAAATGAGGCTTTGAAGGAAAAGCAAATAGCTGCTGAAGAAAAGAGCAGAATTTTATCTGCCTTTTACGAGGCTCTCAAAGGTCATTAGCAGAGGTCTCCATGGTTATAGACATCAGGTTACTTAACACAGAAACAGAGTGCCAGGTCAAGGGGCCTTAAAGATACAAAGAGTAGTGAAAGAAAACCACATTTTATTTTGGTGTGAGAAGCCTCAGCAGCAGCTGTGTTTTTTCTTCAGTTCTACATAAATGATTCCATATTCATCGGGATGCATTAACTCGACAGAATGAATTAAGTCAAATGAATGAAAATGCGAACCTTTGCTGAATTGAGCATTGGTGCTCAACTGCCTGACAGCCGTAATACTGACAACAACAACAAAATATGTTCATGGGTATTAGTTCTTACATTTTTGGTTGTTTTATTAATTGCCCATAAAACCTTAATCCAACAACTCTCCTAAGAAAATTGATGTCCTATTCAATTGATTCTGATCAATATTCAGGGATAGTGGGCAGCTGATCAGAAGAAGTTGTTGCGCATAATCTTTAACCATCAATATGTTTTCCAAAACAATCTGATGCCTAATATTTAATTTAATTCCTGTCAATGTAAGTACAACTTTAAAGTCCTATCCTGTCTTGTATTAGGTGAATGTGGAGAAATGGTGTATGGGACAAGCACTAGGACCTTGACTTCTGGGTTCCTGTGGGCTTTAGAGGCACCTTGCCATAAGCAACTGATTAAGTCCTGGAAGATACTGCCGACAAAACTTTTAATCCAATTAATGGCTTCACTTAAGACATCAAAGGGCGCGACTTAATGAAAACCAGAAACAAAGGAGGCACCTGGGGGCCTGTGCAGCCTGCTTACCCATCCTTCCATTTTCGAACCGCTTCCTCAGGGTCACAGGTGATCCCAGCAACCTAAGACGGCAGAAGACAGGATACATCCTGAACGGAACGCCAGTCCATCGCAAGGCACACGCACACACAGACACTCACAGCCAGTTTTCCCAGAAGCCAGTTCACCTACCAGTGTGTCTTTGGACTGCGGGGGGAACCCACGCAAACGTGGGGAGAACGTACAAACTCTACAATTGAACCCAGCGCTGCAGCTCTGCCACCATGCCACCCCAGCCTACTCATGCAGCAGTGAAATTCTGTTACCATAACGTGGCCCTGTAATGGCCACATTCTTTCTAGTTTACAAAGTGTTTACTCACTTCTTTTCTAGGACATCGGGATCTCCTCTAAAAGGTTAGACTGGCACCCTAAGATATTTTTGTACAGGAGGTCTTTTTAATTCCTGCTAATAGACAAACTGAATGTGACTTTGCAAGAATGGACATGTGAATTTTCTGGTTTTGCACCTAGATTTAGAAAACAATTGGGCAAAAGTACCCAGCTTTTAAATGTGTATGCTTTCAGGAAGGGATATGGGACATATACTTGGAATTACATTTTAAGATATAAAAAAATTCATGACCATAGGTATCCTCAAATAAAAAGTTTATGTTGGAATTAGACACTGCGTGTATGTTAAACAAAATGTAAAAGTTATCACTGCATTTGTTACATTTGGTAGCTTCTTTTTAATGTTAATGCAATTTCTGTGATGTATTTTAAATAGTGCACGTAAGGCTGGCTGGGGTTTCCAAATTTCGTACTGCGTCCCTGATGTAGACCAGACCAGCTCTGGTCACTCGGAATTCATGATACATGACTTGGGAAGAATGTTTTGAAAATGTGGTTGTTGGTGGCACAAAAGGGAAAGGAGCTTGGAGAAAATTCATTTTATATTGCTCAGAATAATACATATTTACCAGCAGCCATATCACCCTGCAACTCACAACTGGCAATCCACTGAAGCTGATGAGCCTGACCACTGCTCATCATGATAAGGCTGCTGGAAGATTGATAAGGCTGCTGGAAGAGGTATTAGATGGGCCAATAGGGGGCGCTCACCCTGCAGCCTGTGAGGGTCCTAATGCCCCAATATAGTGATGGGGTCACTACACTGTAAAAAGGCGCCGTCCTTCAGATGAGACGTAAAACCGTATCCTGAATCTCTGTGGTCATTAAAATCCCAGGGTGTTTCTCGAAAAGAGTAGGGGTCTAACTCCGGCATCCTGGCCAAATTTCCCATTGGCCCTTACCAATCATTGCCTCCAAATAATCCCCATCTATGAATTGGCTTCATTACTCTGCTCTCCTCCCCACTTATAGCTAATGTGTGGTGAGCATTCTGGCGCACTATGGCTGCCTTCGCATTATCCAGGTGGGGCTGCACATTGGTGGTGGTGGAGGGGAGTCCCCATTACCTGTAGACCGTTTTGAGTGGAGTGTCCAGAGTATTTATTATTATTATTAGTAGTAGTAGTAGTATATCAATTTGAATATTACAGGGAAGAACTACAGTACTTGTTTTGTGGAACTTGGAATCTCTTTGAATAAAGCATCAACTTAATGAAGTAATGATTTATTAGGACTATATACTGTAGCTAGGCAACATGTACAGAAAATGTCAAAGCTACCTCATAAATTGAGTTACTTTGGTTTATTGGAAAGAAAATAGTTGAAAACCATCAGCTCAATTTAAATTGTATTTTAACTGGAAAGCCAATTAAGCAATTTGCTTAACTAAATTCAACCGAATTCTGAATCTACTGTAGGTTAGGCATATGGACAGAAGTAGTCAACGTTGCCCGTGGCCTGTGAGCCAAAAGCAGAAAACATTCTTAAGTATTTAATATTCCACATAATTATTATTTTAAACGAATTACCGTATGTTCGTTTATGCGAACTGGGCTGATATGTTTTGTGTAGTGAATGAGGACTTTACTACGTTCACTATGATGAATACAAAAACCTTAAAATATTTAAATGAAATCTCACACGAAACGGTTTTTAAGGGACACAGTCCCGCTTCATTAGAATATCGTGCAATGTATTGATAAAATTACCTTTCTGCATTAATTGAAGGAGGTAGGGCTAATTAATGCGAATCTTGCTTTGGGCAAAACGTTTCACTGGAACAACCTCCCGAAGCCGATTATGGCTAACCGAATTTAAGAAAACAAACGAATTGCATTTTAGTTTCAATATTTGTTTTAACCAGATATTTAATTTGGGCATGGACTCCCATTTACAGAGATACCGTCTCAGCCTCACGCTATTCATTGTTTGACGTTTCACACTGCTGTGAAGAGGTGTGAACTATATTTATATAATGCCCAGTTTGAGGCGAGAATTATTCCTTAGATCTCCCCAATTCAGAAGGGGCTCGGAGTGTCTCTCTGCCAAGCCCAGCCCACTTTCCTCCCAGCATCTCGCCCGGGCGCGCGCACTCACACACGCAGGCTTGGGGATTGAGTGGTGCACGCGCACCTCGCTGGTGGGTGAAGTGCCTGTAGCCTTGTTTGCATTGTGAGCTGCCAGTGCTCCTGCGAAGGCTGGCGATTGTCTGGTGCAGCAGTTAGCTCGCCGACGTCGGAGACCTCTCCGGACCGGGGGGGCTGATAAGTGCGGCTGGAGACCCGGGTTGATCATGGCGGCGGCCGCGGTGGAGGTGAGCCTGAGCAGCGGCAGCAGCGACACATCCAGCACCGGTGAAGAAGAGAGGATGAGGAGGCTCTTTCAGACTTGTGACGGAGACGGAGACGGATATATCAGCAGGTAATAACACAAAGGGAGCTATAGAGACTGCGAGCAGGTTATTCTAAAAGTTTTTTGCCCCCTTAGACATCATGTTTGTGAAAAATGGGGCTTCGCACACAGTCGAGTACAAATAGTAGCGTTTCATCGCTTCAACAAGTTTGAACAAACTTCGGTATGGACTTGGATAAAGTCCTAGAGTTTTTTTCCAGCTCTCGCAGCGTTCGTAAAGATCCGAATTGCGTGGTGCAAGAGGCTTTTCGCGTTTCTTTTCAAATGATAACTGTAGATTTGCCATGCACGGCTTTCTTTTTACAGAGAAGGGATGCATGCTAGCGTACCCCCACTAATCACTGACTGCGAAAATGTCGCAGGGGTTGCTTGTGGTCAAGCAACTGCAGACAGCTGAGAAGCCAGACGATCTAAAACGATGTCATACCTGTCTTTAAAGTTGTGCAGTACCACAAGGAACGCTCTTTGGTGGTGACAGAAATATTTTCACAACGATTCACGTTATCTGCTCCGTCCTGAATATGTAACATATAGAAAAAGTCAAATATAGTGAAAATATGTTTAGCCCCATTTACCATTACGGTGGTTTTGGGCAACTACTGAAAGGTTTCATTGCAACCCCATGTGCAGTATCGTGTCAGTGAAATACTGCAATTATTTGCAGTGTTTTTCAGTATCTACTGTATGTATTCGGTACTGTACCTGCAAACACAAAGGCAAGGCTTTTTTTTCGACACAGTGCTAGAACTGTAGTTTTTCTGTTTTTGTTTTCAGGAGAATATTTTAAAGACCAAGGAGATGTTTTAAATATGTATGCAGTACCACCAAATTTTTGGAATGGCATCATATGATACGGATACGGAAAGAGGATTTGGGGGGAAAAAAGTGACATGAATTTCTGAGCTATATCAGGATGGCTTATGGGCAGTATTGTACATCCAGCGCCTAGTCCACCCCAGTGTCATGGACTTTTGAGTAAACTCAATAGTTAAACTCATGTGAGTCCGTGAATCTTCACAGACAGTGTGTGGGGGGTTACTGATTAATATACCCTGGGGTTGTTCAGATATGAGTCTTCACCAATTCCACTGTGAAATTCAACTGTTAAGCCTGTTTGGAGTTCCCTCTTAATTTAAGTGGTGAAGCAATTTTTTTCTTCACTTCTCTACTTCACTTCATTTCTTTCTCCATTCCTCTTAACCCTCTATACTTCGGACTTTAAGTACAACTCAAAGTCATGCCACCTGCAGAAGTTCTCAGATGACTCTGCAATTGTGGGATGTATCAAGGGTGA